TTAAATAAAAAATTAAATTTAAAAAATATATTTATGAAAAAATTATTTAATATTTAAAATTCAAAATTAGTGTCATTCGAAATTAATATTATACTTAAAATAATTTTTTTAAAAAAAAAGCATTATAAAATAAATAGTAAAACAAATATCTAAAAATTATTTTGTTATAAAAATAGTTATGATTAAAATTATCATATAGTTTGTTTTTAGTTTCTAATAATATATTTGTGTATATATAATTATTTGTGTAAGAGAATATTATATATATATATATATATTTAATTTTGCATAATAAGTCAGTAAGTTCATTGCAACTCAACTAGTAAAGTCGCGCACGTGCACAAATGAGGTCTTTGGTTCAAGCCGTGGAGAAGTGACTTTGAGAAGGAATTATATGGCAGCGACATGTGGCAATATAAGGTGGCATGTGAGATAACGACACGTGGCGGCAAAGGTGAGGTGGCAGGGACACGCGGAGATGAGGTCGTGACACATGGCGTAGAGTTGAGGTGGTAGCGACACGTGGCAAAGGAGGTGAGGTGGCACAGACACGTGGCAGCGGAGGTGAGGTGGCAGCGACATGTGGAGATGAGGTGGTGACATGTGGCGGCCCAGGTGAGGTGGCATTTTAATTTTTTTTAAAAAAATATATTAGCGAAAGAATTGAAATTCCGTCAGTAATTAGCGATGGAATTTCAATTCCGTCGCTAATTCCGTTGGTAATTACCGAAGTAATTCCTATTTTGTCGCTAATTCCGTCGGTAATCCAATTAGTGACGAAAAAATTAGCAATAGAACCAATTCCGTTGCTAATTCCGTCAGTAATTTGATTCTGTTGCTAATCCGTCACTAATCCGTCGCTAATCTGTCACTAATTCCGTCGCTAAATAAAAATTCCATCGGTAAATTCTGTCGTTAATTAGATGTTTTTTGGTAGTGAAAGGACCAAAGAAGTAAACATAATTATATTTGAGGGAGGAAAAATTAAAAAAAAAAAAAAGGCCAACCTGCCAACCCTATGAGTTAGCTCGTCTTGGGTTCGATCTTGATAGCTATGGGCTCAAAAGATTCGTTTTAAAATGAGTCTGATTTTTATCAACCCAACCTGCTACTTCTTGGCAGGTTGACAGGTTGAGCTCACGAGTTCAACTCATATTAGCAGCTCTAATCACACCCTAATTTTCCTTTCGCAGTTTCACTTCATTTATGATATGAGTACTTTACTCCATAGTGCTTTCATTCTACCTACTCCTATGGCCGACGTAGTCGCCGTAAGCTACCTTTGGCTGCAGGCCACTCCCTCTTACAGGGAGCTTGACAACCTGTATAAATATTTTTTAAAAAAGTGTTTTTATATAAGTTAAAGTAAGATTCAAATATTTTTAATTTATGAAGAATAATCCTAGGGCAAGCTCTCAAATTCTTACATGCCATCCCCATAAACTTTTAAGAAAATCTCACAAAAATACCATTTCAATTTTAAAATTTAAAAATGGTGACTCTAATAAACAAAACGATATACTGGTAAGATATTAGGACTATGAGATTTTAATATTTGGTCGAAAAAACCAAAACAATCCCTAAGGGCCTGTTTGGTTTGAGGGGATCGGAGGGTAGGGGCGGGAGGGGTGGGAGGAGTAGGGGAGGGGAGAGGAAGTTTCATTCCTCACCTTGTTTGGTTTGATTAAAAAGGAGGGGAGGGGAGGATATTTAATGATCCCTTGTTTGGTTCAAGGAGGGAAGGGGAGGATAGTAATAATCAATTTACCATTTTACCCTTACATATTAGTTTATGTTTTTTATTGATATATTATATAAATTAATTTACATCTTAATTTAAATCATATAATTTAATAAAAATTCAGTCTTATCATGTTAATATGTGTATTAAAAAATTGGTACAGTAATTTTTTATTCTAATTAATATAATAATATATTTAAAATAATCCAATTAACAAATTTTATATGCCCTAAGAAAAATGAAATTTTATTCTCTTTAGGCTATCTTTTTTTCCAGCTTTAAAATATATTTAATAAATAATATATTTATAAAAAAACAATTAATTTTATAATATTATAATTTTTATTTAAATAATTTTTTATTTTTAAATAATTTTTTATAATATATTTTTAATTATAATAATGTATATATTTTTTATTTTTTTACTTAGGATAATATATTTTTTTATTTGAAATAAATATTATAATAATATATTTTATGGGTAGAAGTGGAATATTGAAAAAACTATAAGGGCATAATGGTCCAAAAATTTGGCTCCCCTTCAAAAACCCCCAATTTGAAGGGGAGCCAAAATGGGGGGAGGAAGGGGAGGGGAGGGGACATTTTAGCTCCCTTCCCCTCCAAAATTTTTAACCAAATGAGGGGAGGGGCTCCTCTCCCCTCCCCTTCCCTCCAACCAAACAAACCCTAAGAGTTTTTAAAAATAGGGAAGGTTAAGTGTTTTTTACACTTGCACTAATATTCACAACACTTTTTGCTATTTTCATAACATTGAAAACGCTATTAACAACACTTTTTTTTTTTGGGCAATTTCCAGACTTGGCTAATTCAACAAGGGGTTCATTATTTAAGTCATAAATGTTTATCCATTATTCGTTTGAAATGATTTATAAATAACTTTTCAATCATAATTTATGAAACACGAGGCAAGTATGTGAAATAAATTTGTCTCAACTTGCGTTAAAGTGCTTATAAACACTTATGAATCGTTGATCTAAACAAGCCTATATACATCAATTTCATATCATAAAAAAAGGCTTGTCATTAAAAGTTTGGGAAACTTTTAAAATATCCTTACTGGTTAAATTATCAGATTTGAAAATTACAAAAAATAATTGTAAATTACTCCCTCCGTTTCTTATTATAAGAGACGAATAACTGAATTACGTTGATAAAAAAACAGTTAAAATTAGTTAAGAACAATCAATGTGTAAAAGATATAATTTTTTTTCCAAAAAAGCCCTCATTAACAAGGAGAGAGAGCATGAGAAAGAACAATGGTAAATTATTCAAAGAAAGAGAAGTGAGAAGGAGAGAGAGTGTGAGTTGGAGACAATAAATACGGGTAAAATAGAAAATCAATACAAAAAAATAGAGACAACTTTTAAATGTCTCTTATATATAGGAACATGTCATAAACATCAAATGTATCTTATAATAGGAAACGGAGGGAGTACCTTAACTAAGTTGTGAAAATGGTTGGAAGTGTTATTAATATTGTTGCAAAAAAGCTTAAATAGCATTATCGAAGATGTGAAAATTACTAGATGTGTTATCAATATTATTGCAAGTCTCTTTGGTCTACTCTCAGGGGCAGTTTCATCTTTCGACCAAATATTAAAATCCCATGTTCCTACGGTCGGATTAATATGTCCTGTTGTATATTAAATTGACTTTTTGGAATTTTAAACTTGAAGTATTATTTTTGTGGTTCCAAAATTTCTCTTCCTTCTCTTTTTTCTATGGGATGAATATAAAAATTTGTGATCTCTTGTTTATTTGCATAATGATATATTATTATATATATGTATATTATATTTGTGAGTATTTTTATATGCAAGGTAAAATTACGTATGAGAATAAAAGGTTTATGTCTATTAATTCTCTAACTAAAAATAAAAAATTAATTAAATTTAACTAAAATAATCACAACCAAAATGAGGCATATATCTATTTTCATTTTTTTTCTTTTTAACAATATTGAGAGGCATTTTGATCTTTTAAAAATATTGAGAAATTCCTAATTAAATCTCTTAGCCTAAGGAATTGTTGAATCTTTGCCTTGAAATAATAGAACCAAATAGATTGATATTAGTGTAATCTAACTCGTTGGCAGCAATCAATCTTGAACTAGAACTAGAGAGATCATTATTTTTTCTGATATATAAGATATGGGATTTCACGAAGTCAATTCTTAGAAAATCTCAAATTAAACTATTTGTACTTATTTCAACAACAAAAAAATGCTCGAGTCTCTTCAATAGAAGAAATTTTCTAGTTTGTATTATATTCGACTCAAGTTTTGTAAGTTATTAAATTTTACTTTAGAGCAGTTCAATCTTTATAGTTTTTAACTCATTTATAATTTAATATCTCGGCTTTGACTTGATACTAGTTGGTCCTTATAATTTTAACAATTTCAAAGTTTTAGTCTCTATATTTTAAAAAATAAAATTACATATTTTTATGAATTTAATAAAAAATAAAAATTGTAAATAATTAAAACTATAAGGATTAAACTACAAAGAGTCAATTTTTTTTATTAAAAAGCTGCATAGAATTAAAATTCAAGTACAATTTCAAGTTTGTAAGAATACTTATAGGGAAAATTTCAGAAAAAGCTCTTAGAATATAGGAAATTTTAGATTGGGTCCTGAAATTTTGAAAATAAAAAAAAAGGGTCAATGACCCAATCTGTCATTTGCAAAATTAAGAGGAATTGACAACTTTGTCCTCATTTGTATTCACTAAAATAATTTAAGGAATCGCTATAAGGGTTTAGGTGTTACTTAGATTTGTGTAGAGAATAACTACTCACTTTTGTTATTAATTACAAGGTACCTGACTACGAAAAAATGAGTAGTTATTCTCTACACAAATCTAGATAACGCTAAACTCTTATAGTGATCTGTTAAATCATTGTAGTGAATACAAATAAGGGTAAAGTTGTCAATTCTTCTTGATTTTGCAAATAACAAATTGGATCATTAATCCTTTCTGTCATTTTTAAAATTTTAAGACCCAATCTGAAATTTCCTATATTTCAAAAACTTTTTTTTGAGATTTTTCCATACTTATAAAACCCGGGTGGTGGCCTCAAATCACTAAAATGAGGCCCCCATTAATTACCAGAACGGACAAAAACCACGTGTCGTATTTTAAAAAGGCATCAGATACGTTAGCGGTGACGACAGTCTTCCATCCCCATAAATCTGTTCAATGTTTCATGCTTTTCTGTCGATTTCTATTCTTTTCACTTCTCTTCCCTTTCTCTCTGTATTGAATTCACCTGACCTTAAACACAGCATTATGCTTTTTCTTTCGTAAGCGAAGCAAAAAGAGATCTTTAGGTTCAGTTTCTGCTGCGGAAAAATTCCATATTCATACATAAGAGAAACTGAGAAGAAGCAACCTGGAATCATCCTCTTTCTTTGACCTGGCTTTATAAAAGTCGCAAAAGGCTGGCGATTTAGTGTTCTTCTATAACTCTTTGGTTTCTGGGCTTGCCTTAACGTTGGTCATGACTAGTAGAAATTTGCAGTAGTTATCAGAGCCGAGATATATATGTCGGTGTTGCTGTTCGAAACCTTAATTTTGGACTAAACTTTGACGGTGATAATACGTGTTTGGACTAAACTTTGACGGTGATTATACGTGCGGAGGTACGTGTTCTTCCGTAAATCTTTCATTCATCCGCATGTTTTAACGTTGACCTTGATTAGTATAAATTTAATGTTGCTATGAGATGAGAGATATATATCTATCATCTGACTTACTGTTCGAAAAATTGGATATCTCATGATTTAATGGGGTTCTTGGTTTGCCATTTTGAGGCTTCATTATCGCATTTCAATCATGGAAAGACATTTTTCTGTCATTTCTGATCATTTTGATTTTTGAATCGTGCAAAATGGAGTCCTGGAGCCTGAGTAGATGTAGGGTCATGAGACGGGTCGAATAGACCCGGCTTGAGAAGGACGACGATGCAAACGACATGCGTTTAAAAACTTGTCAAAACGACACGTCGTTCATTTCCTTCGTCGACCAGGCTTCTCTCGTTTGTTGTAAACGACGCATCGTTTCATTTATCCTTGAGGGGAAGGCAGGGTTTCACTTAAGCGCCGCTTGCCTGGGGCTGACCTTTGCATGATGGCCTGTTTCTGTTGTGCTTGTTCTTCTTCTTGGCAAATTTTGTTTATTACTCTAAGCATGAAATTTATACGAAAGGAGCTAGACCATCTAGAAAATAAAAAATAGAGTATCTACGAAACGGCCTAACTAAATTCTACAATCACCACAGAAATTTCCTTTCCATTTCATGAGGCACCAAGATAAGAGAAGGGTGTACCCAAAATTGGTTCAGCAATGTTCCCATCAATGTCATATATCCCATTTGGGAGTTGGGACATCTCATAATATAGAACAATATTGAGTCGGGTCTTTTTTTATAAGATTCAGTTGGTGACTATCTGAACATTAAATGCATTTTTACTAATTTTATATCTAATTAATTGCATTATATTTTTTCCCATAGTGTAATACTCCTCCGGTCCTAATTATAAGACCCAATTGACTTATTTGAGGAGATTAAGGAAGTAAGTTAAGTTGGTTATTTATAATAAATAAGTATTGTCATTCTTAAAATATCCTTGCTAATTAAGTATATTGGCTAAAACTATCATTATTAGAAGGATTATCTTGAAAAAAAATGCATAAATATAAGAGAGAAAATGGATTGGGTCTTATAATTAGGACCAAATAAAAAGTCAAATTGGGTCTTATAATAAGGACCGGAGGAGTATATTATCTTTCATCTTTTTTCTCGCTATTCTCTATCTCGCCTACCTTCTTATAAATAAAGGCATATTTTGGGCGAGGGGGGAATACAATTCTTATATATTTACTGCTTTTAATTAATATTAATTAATATTTATACATTTCTTAAATCACACAATTTCATTATCTGAATCTTTATGAAATGAACAGTAGGCGGTATATCTTTGCCTAGGAATGACACGCACAAAAGACACAAACCACAAGGAGACAAAGAATTCTCATCTGTCACGAAGAGTCTCTAAATTGATTTGGCCAATAAGTAAAGCTGAATTAAACATTTGTTTTACCCAGATCTCTCCTAGACTTGGGCTTACAATGATTTCCGAAGGCATTTCATTTTTTTTTTTTAAATAAGAAAGTTTAGATGAGTTAAGTTCCAGCATGCCTCTTGGTTCAAAAAGTGAGGCATTTACATATTGTTCGCCAATAAAGTCTTTACATTGGCAGCAGGATTTGAATTCACCAGGGGTGACTCCTTACCGACTGGATCAACACTTGTTGGCAAGGCATTTTATTTCTGTTTCTGTTATGCTTAGTTGGGCTGAAATTCTGGGACGCTGGGCTTGTTTGATTCTATTTTTTTCATTTTTATGTTCTCGAAACGATTCTGTGGAGCCATTTTTCAGAACAAGTTTTCAAAACAACAGATTAGAAATCTATTTGAATGATTAATTCGAAGAACATATTTAAAATATTGAACTGAAGGGTACAAGAATAGTTTGCTTTATTAGCCTAGTTGTCATGAATGACAATATAATATTCTCCACCTCTCTTCTAATTTTGTAGAACAAGAAGTAACAAAACATTGCAAAGAAACACATTTTCGGACATGTTTTTTTATATCTTTTTTTTTTCAGAACGAAAATTACTTAGAAAACAAAACACCAAACATACCCTTAGTTTTTTTTTTTTTTAATAAAAGGCAATTTATTTAAAGCAAGACAATAAGATTACAGCAATCCAAAACCAGAAGCAAGGCAGCAAAGCAAAAAAGACAAAAATAAAACACAAATGGAAATAGCTTAACTGAAATAAATAAAATGAAGTGCTTTTGGTATTGGTGTTTGAATCAGAAAGGCTTATGGTTTTGTATGTTCTCTAAATAAAATAAAGTGAAAGTAACTATTCAACTGAGCTATATTCTCTAACGCGAATCCGTGGCCTATTGCTATCATGATTATATTCTTGGGGCTCTGGCCCGCCTAAATAATTGTCGTTTTGACCTGTTTCAGCAAAATCTTCTGAGATTTTAGATATTGGACTAGTGTTACATATATACTTTATCACATTTTTCTTGGGGCCAATATAATTTTCTTTTGTTTATGTTGGAACATATCAGATTCTGGTTAATTTCTTATTCAAATTTTAGATAAATACTTTATTGGCCATTGAGTAATTTTTGACTTGTCCAAACTTTAGGAAATTTATTGGGAAAATTGGGGATAGATCCTTCATTGAGAAATTAATTGGCAAATAGTTCTTAAGGACTTTGTGTAACTTAATTTCTTTATGTGCAATTATCTTTCTTGTGCGACGTACTTCCTTTGTGTAACTTAACTTTTTTTTATTTTTTTTATGTGCAGTCCATCTTCCTTTGTGTAAGCTATCTTTCCTTTTATGTACAAATAATGTTTTGCATAAACTATATTTCCTTTGTGCAACTTAACTTTTCTATATCTCATCTTCCCTTGAGCAATCCATTATCCTAAGGACTATTTGGCAATTAATTTTTCAATAAGGGATTTATCCCCCAATTTTCCCAAATTTATTTTGGATAATTTAAATCAGTTTTAGGCCAAAAAGATTGTGGTGTCATTATTTATGCCTAATTTGACAATTAGTATTTAGGAAATTATTTTGACACATTTCAAAAACAAGAATTTCAATCAGTTGCATTTTGTTTATCCGATTAGTCAATTAATTATTTAATTATCATTTAGTTGTTCTTGCTTATGTAGTGTGGGATTTGCATCATACAATGATATATAATAAATTTCTCCTTTCTTAATTTATCCACGTCTTGACTTTTGATGTTCTCATCATTGTGGGAATAGCTAAGTTCATTTTTGAATTATGAATGGCAATGGGAATTCCCTTTGAATTATGTAATTGTGGCATTTGAGAAACTGTCTAGTGATTATATAGTTGAACACTTGTTTCTATAAGCATCAGTAGTTACATAATTCACAATCTCCCCACCTGAATGCATTTATGAATCTCCCAATTTGTTCTTCAATTAGCAGTGCACTGGTAATTTCTTAACGTTGGTTATCATTAGGAGAAGTTTACACCTTCAACTCTGCATTTATGTTCACAGTGAGACAAAGCCCACCTTTCTTTCTTCCTCTCTTTGTGGCTTTGTTTGTAAAGCATTAATAGGTCTCTGAATGCTGCCTTACGGTTGCAGAGATCTCAAATCATTGTTGGATATTTCATTCCTAAGTAACTTTTTATTTTTTTGACTCTTTTTACAAACTTTCGATCATCAATCGCAGCACTTTTGTTTTAGCTTATGGTTACTTCGATATGAGAGCTAGCAATTGACATTTGAATATTTTCTTTATAAGAATTTCTCCCCTCTATATTTCAGGGAGAAGATGGAGGAATTTTGGAGAGTCTTTTGTGAAGAATCAAGTTGTTCAGAAAGAGGGGGAATACATTGCAGTTATGATTTTGAACTTCTCAAAGATCCTTCAACGTGCATGAACCATTTGATGGTCATCTGCCTCAATGTGTTACTGCTGATTTTGCTTTTATTAACGGTAACACTTAAGTCCTCAACCAAGACATTTCATGGTTCTGTCCAAGCACAAAGGTTCTCAAGTTTGCAGGTAGCTTCTGCAATAGTGAGTGGCTGTCTTGGGTTAATTCATTTGTGCTTAGGCATTTGGATCTTAGAGGAGAAATTGAGGAAAACTCACACTGCTTTTCCTAGCCATTGGTGGATTCTAGAGATTTCTCAAGGGATCACATGGTTGTGTGTGGGTTTGACAATAAGTCTCAAGCTGACCAAACTTTCAAAACTATGGTCAAGACTAGTATCTATTCTGCTCCTCTTAATTTCTGGTATTTTTTGTGTTATTTCCATTTGCTTTGTCATTGGTGGAAGAGAAGTGTCCCTAAAGATAGCTTTAGATGTTTTACCGGTTCCTGGAGCAATTTTGTTGGTCATATGCTCATATAAGGGACGTCCGTTTGTTGAGAGAAATATCGATGGAAGCCTTTATGCTCCTTTAAATGGTGAGTCCACTGACATTGATAAAACTAGTTCTGCCGACCATGTAACCCCATTTGCAAAAGCTGGATTCTTTAGCAAAATGTCATTTTGGTGGTTGAATCCACTGATGAAAATGGGCAAGGAGAAAGCTATCCAGGAGGAAGATATCCCGAAGTTGCGAGAGGAAGATCAAGCTGAAAGCTGTTATTTGGTGTTTCTTGATCAGTTGAATAGGCAAAAACAGAAAGAACCATCTTCACAATCATCCATTTTCTGGACAATAATTCTGTGCCACTGGAAAGATATCTTCATATCTGGAATTTTTGCATTGCTTAAGGTACTCACTATCTCAGCTGGTCCACTGCTTCTAAATTCCTTTATATTGGTTGCTGAGGGTAAAGAAAGTTTCAAATATGAAGGATACATACTGGCCATAACGCTTTTCTTCACAAAGATCTTAGAATCAGTATCACAAAGGCAGTGGTACTTCCGAAGCAGGCTCATTGGTTTACGAGTTAGATCACTGCTTAGTGCAGCCATTTATAAAAAGCAATTGAGGCTATGTAATGCTTCAAGGCTGATGCACTCAGGTGGGGAGATTATGAACTATGTAACCGTAGATGCTTATAGAATTGGAGAATTTCCCTTTTGGTTTCACCAGACTTGGACAACAAGTGTTCAATTATGTATTGCAATAGTAATTCTTTTTAATGCTGTGGGGCTAGCAACCATTGCTTCTTTGGTGGTCATAGTTCTCACTGTTCTTTGCAATACTCCACTAGCAAAGCTACAACATACGTTTCAGACCAAACTTATGGTGGCACAAGACGAGAGATTGAAGGCTAGTTCTGAGGCTCTTGTGAATATGAAAGTACTGAAGCTCTATGCATGGGAAACCCACTTTAAGAAAGCTATTGAAAGCTTGAGGAAAGTTGAGCTCAAGTTTTTAACTTCTGTGCAGTTAAGAAGGGCATACAACACCTTTCTCTTTTGGTCTTCACCTGTTTTGGTCTCTGCTGCTACTTTTGGGGCATGTTACTTCCTAAAAGTTCCTTTACATGCGAATAACGTCTTCACTTTTGTTGCAACTCTACGCCTTGTTCAAGATCCGATCAGAACAATCCCCGATGTTATTGGGGTGGTCATTCAAGCTAAAGTAGCATTTGCTCGGATTGTGAAATTCCTCGAGGCACCAGAATTGCAGAGCGCAAATGCCAGAAAGAAGAGCTTAAATGGCTGTCTTAATGGCTCTATTCGCATCAATTCTGCGAACTTCTCATGGGAAGATAATGATTCAAAGCCCACCTTGAGAAACATAAATCTTGATGTTAAACCTGGGCAAAAGGTGGCTATTTGTGGAGAAGTTGGCTCTGGCAAGTCAACCTTATTGGCTTCAATTCTTGGAGAAGTTCCCAAAACTCATGGAACTGTAAATTCTTAATCTTAAACCTTTTTTATTCTTTTTTTTTTTCATGGCCTATAAATTGTTGGGTGCACTTTAGCTTCTTTTTTTATAGCATCCGATTGTCATTTCTGGATTACAGATTGAAGTCCATGGGAAGTTTGCTTATGTTTCTCAAACAGCATGGATTCAAACAGGCACAATAAGGGATAATATATTGTTTGGCTCAGCCATGGATGCTCAAAGGTATCAAGAAACGCTTGAGAGGTCATCATTAGTGAAAGATCTTGCCTTGTTTCCATATGGTGATCTCACAGAAATAGGGGAGAGAGGTGTGAACCTTAGTGGAGGTCAAAAACAACGAATTCAACTCGCTCGCGCTCTTTATCAGAATGCCGATATATATCTGTTGGATGATCCATTCAGTGCTGTTGATGCACATACAGCCTCAAATTTGTTTAGTGTAATAATCATATTGTCATTTTCTCATCCACATACTGTGATATCCTTTTTACTCACATATGGCTTTTAATTTGGCAGGAATATGTCATGGAAGCACTTAGAGAAAAGACTGTCATGCTTGTGACTCATCAAGTTGACTTCCTTCCAGCATTTGATTCTATTTTGGTAACTTTCCTTTGACTCAAGGCATTGTTTATGAAAGTATTATTAATAATTATAATGACTTGGAATTTTATGAATTCTGTGATCTTTTGTCTCCTTGTCATTGCTAAGCAATTGTAGGCTTCCTCCGAAGCATTTAATTTTGTTAGTTTTTGTTTTCTTTAATATTATTATAAATTGTTTTTGAAATAATTTTATAACCCATGGAAGGTTATTAGATGATTGGGTACCAAATTAGGTATAATGATATAAAAAATTTAAATATATTAATAGTGTTACTAGAAAGAGAGAAAGTGACAGAGTATATTCATTCAACAAATAGGAAATGAGGATAGGTACAGCATATAACCCCTTTCCCTTGGCCACATCATCAATCACACTCTCTCTCCTCTAACTAACTCTCAGGTAGTGCGCCTCTGAACCAGTATTATTTACCGTAGTACCCTCTATAGGATTTATCATATATCAAATACTCCCCCCCTCAAAAAGGATCCTTGTCCACAAGGATGGTGGTGGTAGGAGGTGCTGAAGTATCGAAATCTAGGAATTGTTGCTTTATGGCAGAGAGATCCTCCCAAGTAGCATCTTCAGGTTGAGAAAATTTCCATCGAACCAGAACTTGTGTGACAGGGTGGTTGTGACGTTTAACAACCTTTCTCCCTAAAAGTTGATCAGGTTCTAGCATAAAGTGACCGTTATCATCCACAGGAGGGAGTGACTGAGTGAGAGCATTTGAAGGACCCACGTGTTTCTTAAGGAGGGAAACATGAAACACTGGATGTACTCTAGTTTCAGGTGGCAATTCCAATTCATAAGCAACAGTTCCAATTTTCCTTAGGACTCTAAATGGTCCAAAGTACCGAGCAGCGAGTTTGTGAAGGGAATAGTTATTCAGCAGACTTTTGCGAAAAGGGTGTAGCTTCAGATAAACCATATCACCCACTGAAAAGTGACGTTCAGATCTGTTCTTATTAGCCTGCTGCATCATTCTGTGTTGTGCCTTACTTAAATGCTGTTTCAAGAGTTGTAGAACCATCTCACGGGACAAACAAGTTCGGTCAACCAGTTCATTTGGGGAATCTCCAGCTATGTATGGTAGGTGGACAGGAGGGGCTACACCGTATACTGCTTCAAAAGGAGACATGCCTATGGCAGAGTGATAAGTGGTATTGTACCATAGTTCCGCCAATGGAAGCCACTTGGTTCACTGTTTGGGGAAATCTCCAGTCATACATCTAAGATAGCACTCCAGGCAGCGATTCAAAACTTTTGTTTGTCCATCCGTTTGAGGATGATAGGCAGAAGAATAGTGAAGCTTAACTCCATAGAGTCGAAAGAGTTCCTTCCAGAATTTGCCACAAAAAATAGGGTCCCTATCGGTGACAATAGATTTGGGAAACCCATGTAATTTAACAACATTATCCATGAACACATGTGCCACATCTACTGTTGTGAATGGATGTTTAAGAGCTATGAAATGAGCTGCCTTAGATAGTCGGTCCACAACCACTAATATAGTAGTCTTAGAATAAGATTTAGGAAGGCCCCCTAGAAAATCCATAGACAATTCAGACCAAATGTGGTTCGGAATAGGAAGGGGCTGAAGAAGCCCAGGAGAAGCAACCAATTCAGGCTTGAAACGTTGACAAACAGTACATTCACGTACAAAATTACGGACATCTTTTTCCATACCTTTCCAATAGAAAAAAGAAGCAAGTCTCCTGTAAGTAGGGTGAATACCGGAATGTCCCCCAATGCTGTTAGCATGAAAAAAAGTCAACAGATCAGTTCGAAGTGCACAATCAGCTCCCACAACCAATTTCCCATTACGTTTAAGCAATTGATGCTGCCAAGTGTACTTGGAATGGGATGCTGGGTTTTTTTCCAAGTCCCTAATCAGATCCTGCAGCTTGTCATCAAGTAACCATGAGTCCCTCACCTTGTCATAAAGAGGTGAGACAGGAGTAGACAGAGCCAAACAAGATCCATCTGAGCGCCTGGAAAGGGCATTTGCAGCCACATTATCACTACCTTTTTTGTAAACGATCTCGTAATGCAAGCCCCATAATTTATGTAGCCATTTAAATTGTTCTTGACTGAGATCTCTTTGCTCAAGTAGGTGTTTCAAGGGTAAGTGATCAGTTTTAATAATGAATTTACGCCCCCATAAGTAGGAACGCCACTGTCTCACTGCAAATATAATGGCAAGAATTTCTAGCTCATAAGCTGACAAGGGTTTCTTATTTGAAGGTAAAGCTTTGCTAGCATAAGCTAAAGGGTGGCCGTTTTGAGACAGAATAGCATCGAGGCCATAACCAGAAGCATCAGTCTCAATGACAAAGGTATCATTGAAATTTGGGAGCGCAAGGACTGGAGGAGACATCATAGCTTCCTTAAGAGTATGGAAAGCTTGATTTGCAGCATCTGTCCATAGAAACTTTTCATTTTTCTTCAGCAATGCAGTTAAGGGCCGACAAATGGACCCATAGTGTCTAATGAAACGTCTATAGTATCCTGTAAGACCAAGGAAACCACGTAACTCTTTGATAGAACGAGGCACCGGCCAAGAAGCAATGGCATCTAACTTGCGTGGGTCAGCTTGAACCCCCTGGGCAGAAATTAAATGGCCCAAATAATCAACCGGGGTGGTAGCAAAAATGCATTTAGACGCTTTAGCAAAAGCTGGTGCTATCTCAAGGTTAACAGGGTGGTTTCCAAGTGTTGCAAATGAGTAACCCAGTCCTTGCTGTAGACTAAGATGTCATAAAAAAAAAACCAGTATAAATTTACGCAGAAAGGCCTTGAAAACTGAATTCATGAGTCCCTGAAAAGTAGCTGGAGCATTGGTTAAGCCAAATGGCATTACCAGAAATTCATATAGACCTTCATGAGTCCTAAAAGCTGTTTTGGCAATATCATCTTCCTTCATCCGTATCTGATGATACCCAGCTCTCAAATCCAATTTAGAAAAATAGGCAGCCCCTGTCAGCTCGTCCAGCAAGTCATCAATGATTGGAATAGGAAATTTGTTCTTCACTGTGGCTTCATTTAATTTCCTATAGTCAACACAAAACCTCCATGTCCCCTCTTTCTTTTGTACCAATACTACTGGGGCTGCAAAAGCGCTAGTGCTCTCTCGAATGATACCATTATCAAGCATCTGTTGAATCTGATTCTCAATCTCAGTTTTCTGTAGAGGACCGTATCTATAAGGTCTACAACAGATAGGTCTATCATCTACAAGTGGAATAGAATGGTCAAACTTACGAGGAGGCGGCAAACAAGTAGGTTGCTGAAAGACATCTGCAAACTTATCTAAAAGATGCTGTAAGGCAGCCTGTTGCTCCCCTAAGAGTGGTGAGGCAGCATTTAACCCGACTTGCAAATGAGAAGGGGTGTGGATGAGATATAAGTGGCTGGCTATCATCATTTCTTTAATAGACATGGCTTCCGTTGAGATGGGCTGTTCAACAGAGCCAATACCTCGTAAAATGAGCAGCTGACCATTCCATTTAAATTCAAAAGATCTTAATTCCATATCCATTGTAAAACGGCCTAAGGTCTTCAACCATTGAGTGCCAAGGATAGCATCATACCCCCCAATTTTCATGACCAGAAAGTCAGACGAGAAGGAAGTACCCCCCATTTCCCAACTTAATTCGGTACAGTGTTTAGTAAGGCAAACCTGACGAGAATCGGCTACCGTAAGTCTGACTGGTGACCGTTCTTGAACTCCTAATTTAAGCCTTTTGGCGACAGTTGCATCGATGATATTATGGTTGCTGCCCGTGTCGATGAGAAGGATGATCTGTTGATTCTTTATGCAACCCAATAACTTCATGGTGGATGTGTTTTCTCGGCCCTCAATGGCGTTAATCGTCTCGTCAGCTTCACCTTGACCATCACCAATAGCATCTTCAAAATGGTCCTCATCTTCATCAATAATCAGGGTGAACACATGAGAGTCCTTGCAGCGGTGGGTACTCGTATAACGTTCAGGGCACCAATAGCACAACCCTTTACGTCGCCGCTCATCCATTTCCTTCTTTGAGAGCTGCTTGGTGGGCTTCGCAGGGGACTGCACCGGAGAGGAAGCTGAAAGTGAGACAGGAGAGTTGGGTTTGGAGGACAACTGAGTCGGTAATGGGCCTGTCGTCGAGCCCAACGTAGGAGAGGTCTGAGACCCAGCTGCACTATGGCGCGCTGCTGACCCCACCGTTATAGAAGAGAATCTGCGATCGCGATTTGGGGCGTTCTCGTGTAAGGCACGCACGGTTGCTTCCTGGAGTCGAGCGGAACTCATCGCGCCAGCCAAGGTCGATGGCTCAGAGTTGAGGACCAACTGGTGGATATCGGGTCGCAATCCCCCAATGAATAATTTGACCGCAATATCCTCAGGTATATCAATTTCAGATAACAACTCATCAAACTTCCTCTCATAGTTAGCGACAAGATCATCGGCCTGCTGGAGTTTCTTAATAACAATGAGAGGATGTTCATCGCGGACATGAGTGAACTTGATTTCCATCTGCTTGAAATAATCATCCCAACGGACCTCAGAAAAAGAGTGCTGACGCATGAAGGTTTGGTGCCAATGCAGAGCATGGCCCTCCAGGTGGATACTCAGGAGGCGAATGCGGTGTTCAAGAGGTGTAGCGTCGACTTCAAAGAACTGAAGGCAGCGGTATGCCCACCCTTGGAAATCAGCGCCGTCAAACTTCGGAAACTCGACACGGCTCTGTTTGGTCGGAACCGAGTAGGAAGAAGCAGATGTGTGCAGTTCATGAAAAGACCCGAAGTGAGGAACGCGAGGAGGAGTAGCAGAGTGAGAACCTTTGTCAAGACCACTAGGTTCGGCCGGAAGTTGCCTACCAGAAGGGCAAATGGATGAAATCTTGGTGGACATCTCCTTGATGAGGTCTTCAAGGCGGGATGTCGACTGCTCCAGGCGAGAAGTGGTGAGACGAAGATCATCGATTGATTGAGAGTTCTGCTCCAGACGAGTCGTAACAGAGGTGATGGAAGCTTGGTGCAGCTCTAAGCGGTGTTCTAAATCCCCAGTGCGCTCAGAAGATCGAGTGTCCGGCGGTGGCGCCATTGGCTGGACAGAGGCTCTGATACCAATGTTACCAGAAAGAGAGAAAGTGACAGAGTATATTCATTCAACAAATAGGAAATGAGGATAGGTACAGCATATAACCCCTTTCCCTTGGCCACATCATCAATCACACTCTTTCTCCTCTAACTAACTCTCAGGTAGTGCGCCCCTGAACCAGTATTATTTACCGTAGTACCCTCTATAGGATTTATCATATATCAAATAGGGTTTGAATATTGGATTACTATTTGGCCGAAATGAAAGAAGAACCTTGGATTACTATTGCCATGCTACTACTCATACCACTTGAACTAACCTCAAGTTGCCATCTCTTATATGTCATTTTATACTGATGATTTGAACAAAATTAGGATGGATCTATAAATTTTATAGTAAACTAAATTCATATATATATATATAGTGGAATATAAACCCTAAAAAAATTACATATTTGTCACTTACATTAATCTTCATTGATATTATATATAAATTAATTAATAAAAATAAATTTATGTTAATCTATTACTGTATTTTCATTATCAATTAATTTTCTCTGCATCATATATTTCTTAGATCTTTGGTATTGAAGTCTCAAATTGTAATTCTTGATACTTGAGTGTTTTAATCCTTCCTCCTTACAATTTGTTTTTAAAGGAAGAATTCTCCTTCCTTGCTTGAGCCTGTGTTGGTGGCTTTATTATGTGAAGTTAATCAACAGATTTTAGCCATTGTTTGTGTCCTTAATTTTGATAATAGTAACGGTGCGTTTCTTTGTTTATAACAGCTCATGTGTGATGGGGAAATTCTAGAAGCTTCCTCTTATCAGTATCTTCTATCTTCAAGCCAAGATTTTCAAAACCTTGTTAATGCTCACAAGGAAACTGCTGGTTCTGAAAGGCTTCCTGATGTTACTTCTCATACACATGCAAATCCCACCAAGGAGATTATCAAGTCATATTCAGAGAAGCAGTTTAAGGATACAAAAGGTGACCAATTGATTAAGCAAGAAGAAAGAGAAATTGGAGACACAGGGCTAAAGCCTTACTTGCAATATCTGAATCAAAACAAGGGTTATTTGTACTTCTCTATTTCTGCACTTATGCACCTTGCATTTGTGATTGGTCAAGTACTACAGAACTCATGGATGGCTGCTAATGTTGACAATCCTCACGTTAGCACGTTGAAATTGATAGCGGTCTACTTGTTCATTGGAGTTGTTTCAACCCTTTTCTTGCTAGTTAGAACTCTGGGGATTGTTGCTTTAGGCATTCAATCGTCAAAGTCTTTGTTTTCACAGCTGCTGGACTCACTTATCCATGCGCCTATGTCATTTTACGACTCCACACCTTTGGGAAGGATACTTAGTAGGGTAAGCCTACCAAATAATTCCTCTTCTTACAATGCCATGTGATTGATGAAAGTGATTGTGATTTTAAGTATATATGACTTTATATTGTATAGGTCTCATCCGATTTGAGCATCGTCGATCTTGATGTTCCATTCAACCTCATGTTTGCCGTTGGAGCCACCACAAATTGTTATGCTAACCTTGTTGTTCTGGCGGTTGTTACCTGGCAAGTCTTGTTTGTCTCTATACCAATGGTTTATGTAGCAATTTGTCTGCAGGTAATATACCAATTCTTCTCAACTGGTTCTCTATTTTATCATATTGCATTTTATGATGCTCATATTTGACATATGAATATGTGATGTGCAGAAGTTTTTTTGTGTGTGTGTGTGTGTCTGGAAGTTACGGTTGTGTCTTCAGAAGAAATCTTTATATGCTTTTAGATAGTCAAATCACTAAAAGGAATTGACTTGGAATCCAATATTCAAAATTTAAACATCTATGTGAAAAACCATTTAGAATTTACTGTGTTAATCCTGATTTTTCCATGCCTTGCAAACTTTAGAAGTAGATGTTCATGTTCATATGATAATCTATAGTTTTCTTGCTCTATGGTTCCTTTTTTTTTTAAAGGTATATTTTTGCATAAAAATGCTTTGTTTTACACAGAGATACTACTTTGCCTCTGCAAAAGAGTTGATGCGATTGAATGGCACAACAAAGTCCTATGTAGCCAATCATCTGGCAGAATCTGTTGCTGGTGCTATGACAATAAGGGCTTTTGAGGAGGAAGATCGTTTCTTCGCCAAGAATCTTCATTTAATCGATGTCAATGCCTCCCCTTTCTTCCATAACTTTACAGCAAATGAGTGGTTGATTCAACGGTTGGAAACAGTTAGTGCTTGTGTTCTTGTCGCCGCAGCACTTTGCATGGTACTACTTCCACCTGGGACTTTCTCCTCTGGTGAGACTTCAGTCACTATTGCCTACAAAACATTTTCAGGACGATGACAGTTAAGTCCTAAAGATTAACTTAATGCTAGTTAGGCCCTAAGAAACTTTGTTGAGAAATTAGTTGCAAATATAGAAATATTACGTGCAAATTTGACATTTAAGTGATTATTTATGAGCTGCAGTTGCAATTGATAATCCTATATTTGTAATTTTCTGAATCTTGCAACTCACCTTTTGAGAAACTTTTTTGAGACCTAACTGTTGTTAAATTGAATTTTTGGGACCTAACTATCATTTCCCCAATATTTTCTTCTCTGTTCTTACATCTGAACATTCATGTGCAAAATTTGTTGTTGCAGGATTTATTGGCATGGCCATTTCTTATGGGCTTTCATTAAATGCATCCCTTGTGTTCTCAATTCAGAACCAATGCACAACAGCAAACTATATAATATCAGTAGAAAGGTTGAATCAATACATGCATTTACCAAGTGAAGCTCCAGAAGTCATAGAAGAAAATCGTCCTCCTGCAAATTGGCCTGTGGTTGGAAAAGTAGAAATAAATAATCTGCAGGTAAAAATGGTAGTTTTTGAAATCTTACAACATAAAGTCCTTGATCTAGAAACTAGAAAGTGCATAATTTTCTTGTTTATACTGAAACAGATAAGGTATAGGCCTGATACACCTCTTGTACTGCGAGGAATCTCATGCACATTTGAAGGAGGGCACAAGATTGGCATTGTTGGGAGGACAGGTAGTGGAAAGTCCACTCTCATAGGCGCTTTGTTTCGCCTCGTGGAGCCAGCTGGTGGAAAGATCATTGTCGATAGCATAGACATTTGTAGTATTGGCCTCCATGATTTGAGATCGCGTTTCGGTGTCATACCTCAGGATCCTACTCTTTTTAATGGCACAGTTAGATATAACTTGGACCCTTTGTCTCAACACTCTGATCAAGAGATATGGGAGGTGATACTAATGCCTTTTTTTACCCTTTCCACATGGTTGATGTAATAACTAGAACACATCTAGTTTAATTACTAATGGAGTTAAGAAATCAGTTGGTTTTAGTCAAAACGTGGTTTTGATTATAGGAATTTTGTCTAAAGAGTTACAAAATCACTTTATATTCTGCTCTCCCTACCAATATCATGGAAACTCTAATGATGATACGTTTATTCCCTTTAAAGGTTCTTGGAAAATGTCAATTGCGAGAGGCAGTTCAAGAGAAAGAAGGCGGCTTAGACTCTTCAGGTGAGATACCAACTTTTATTGTTGCAGTAATGAAGCATGCTATGTTTTTTTCTTCTTCTTTGGATTGATGATGACTATTGGTTGATGAACTTTGTTGTGCAGTTGTGGAAGATGGATCAAACTGGAGCATGGGACAGAGGCAGCTATTCTGCTTGGGACGAGCTCTTCTAAGGAGAAGTCGGATTTTGGTGCTCGATGAAGCAACTGCATCAATCGATAATGCCACCGATTTGATTCTGCAGAAAACTATAAGGAGTGAGTTTGCAGATTGCACTGTGATCACAGTAGCTCACAGGATACCAACAGTGATGGATTGCACTAAAGTTCTTTCCATAAGCGATGGTAAGTATATGTGTGTGTGTGTGTGCACACACATTAGCTCCATTTAATCTCATAATATTAGTCTAATACTTACTTTTCATGCCAAAGAAATAGAGAGGTTTCTGTTGAGTTTACTAACAATTAAACTTCAACGGAATTGTAATTTTTGCAGGAAAGTTGGTGGAATATGATGAGCCAATGAAGTTGATGAAGAGGGAAGATTCTTTGTTTGGGCAGCTTGTGAAGGAATATTGGTCTCATCTTCATTCTGCAGAATCATGTTGATCTATTAAACCAAAAGCCATGTCTGATAAGCAGCTTATCAGGGAGTGGTAATGGAATGAAATAATGGGGAATTAGTTTCAGTAGCAAATGCGATATTAACTTTTGCCATTTAATGATTAGATAAGAGTAAATTTTCAACATCAATCCATTAATGTCTTGATACAGTTTCATGGATATAAAGTATCAAAAAATTAAAGTGCCTGTTTGCTTACTGGAAAGCTTAGGCTTATTATAGGTATGGTATAAAATGGATTAGAAAAGTTGATAGTATTGTTTAGTATGGCATGGCAAATGTTGGGAAGAAATTTCTGTAATTGAATAAATAAAAATAAAATACAAGCCCAATACAAACACCGTTTTTTCCTTTTGCTGCAAAAAAAATCTTTCTAGTAAAAGCAATACAATGCAAGATGGGCGCATAAAAAATTTCAGATCCAAGCAACACAAAAATAATCATTTTCAATGCTCATTTTGCTCAAGTTTGGAGTAGTTGACATGATATATTCTTTAAAATCTCCAATGAGATGAAACAGATGTTGGAATAATATTATATAATTATTAATTAATATGTGAATTCTATTAATTATTTGTTTAGTAAATTTTGTAATTAAGCATTTGTGTTTAGTGAATTAAACTTGTTAAAGCCCAAAACATATTGGCCTTTTGTCTTGTTGTCTGGACTGTGATAGATAAGTCACACAAGTGATCATTTGAATAGTGTTGGTTCCTCATCACTGTCTTGATTGAGTCAAGGAGGTTTATAAGAGAGAGATAATTAAATAATTATTAATTATTTTTTTGAAGGTAGGTATTGGCTTGGTTTTTTTCACTTTGATACATGGTGCACTATAAGTGATTATTAGCCAGGCTACCTCATTGGCTTTTGCATCCTCTCTATTCTTTTGTACTATATAAAGGGGATCCAGTAGGTTGTGAATATGCTTCTTCTCAAAGTGAAGGAAACTACTAAAATTTTATAAAGAGATCTCTCCGATGATTAGTTAAGTACGTCCATAAACCCCTTTTGTAATTATTTTGACTAATTAATTAATCATATATTTTTAGCACATGGTATGGGAAGGATGGCTAAAAATATCCTGTTGAGTGATTTTTTTTTTGTTTTGGTAAAGAGTGTATATTTTCATTTATGAATCAAGAAACTAGTAGCTGGGTCACTAAGGGTGTTTGGTAAAACCAAAACCAAGGTTTCAGAATCACTTTTCCGCAAAACGAGATAACCTATATATTTACTTCGTAATCCGTAAAAACACTTCTGAAACCATGGTTTGGTTTCTATCCAAACACCCTTTAAAGCTATAATCACCAAAAAAAAACCAGCAATAATGAAAAAATTGAGAACAACCAAAATCAAAGTAGTCTCACCAAAACAAAGAAAAAAAAATTCAGATAAAAGAACTTTTCCAGGCTTGAAGTTGAAGGTGTTAGTGACACTTTACATCACTATTACAGAATTCTCCATATATGTCGGTTAATTTTGTTAATACACGACGACTAGTAAACATCATGTTTAGGCGCGTCATTTATTCTCTGAGAAGAATACGTAACGATTATTTACCATTACGTATTCTGTTAAATACTTGTCGGTTCTATGTCCGAAAAGATCATGTACTTAAGTCTCCTGGTAAGGCCACGTGACCTACACGGGTATGGTTACATGACGATTTGAGTGTAGTAACTGTCACATATTGTATATTAATAGTGATGGTTTTAACTGATAATCGGTCACGTTATCCAGACAATTTTTTTTTTTTTTAATAGGTGGCTTCTTTCGTTCTTAGTAGCCTTCCCGCATTGCAATATTCACATAATTAGCGCATATTTTTATAGCAAAATAGAATCAATATTCATAGAATGAACAAATATACAGTAAGACAAAGTCAACCAAAATGAAATAACAAACCAAATTATGGATTAAATACAACAAAATATCATTGAGTTATAGATTAAATTGTACAAATACATAGTAATAATGTTATATTCTCAATAATCAAGTAGCACTGCCTCATTTTCTTTTCCTAGTAGTCTTGGCTTTTTTAATTTCTTTTTAATTTGAATAATTTGTTTTCTTGTGAAATTTTCCCTTTTTAAAATCCATATTTTTTCATTGTGATCATGTCTGACATACAAAGCATCATCTTCATTGAAATATGTTTCAAGAGATGTCCCATGGAATGGATCATCCTTAAGTTTATTATCTTTATGTCTCACGTCGTCACCATTTATTATATTGCTAAGCAAAATAATAGACCATTCATTATTAGTAGAATCTGGGACAAAAAACTTGTCTAGCATAAGAAACCAAAATAAAAAGCTTTTCTTTTGAAAGGCTCTTCTTTGTACCCTTCCTTATTCAAATTCATTAATTGTATCAACCCTAGGTCATCAATTCTCAAGGCATTGTTATTGTCAACCCATTTGCACCTAAATGCGAAAACTCAAAATCCGATGCAATCCAACTCCTAGATGTGGTCAATCAGCCCAAAATATGACATATTTGCATAGATAAGATTTTTATCTTTGGCATTCGATACATGCATGGTATTACCAACAAGAGTTACACCACTATTTTGCATTTTTTGTCCAATCATCCTGTTATTTGGTATAGAAGGTGAACCCATTGATGTTATAGCTTGGGTAAGAAAGCACTTAATTGCATGGATAGTTCGCTAAGAACTTTAATTTCTCAGAAACTGAATTAGGATCAACATTATACTTGTCATACATGTACTTTTTCAACCATGTTGTAAAATATTTATTGTGTGCTTTGATATATTGGGGTTATCCCTCTCAAGCTCCTCCATATGCTTGTTTATATATATATATATAACCTCTTTAGAATTGTGTAGTACTTACTTCTATTGTTGGTCTGGGATAGTAATGACTTTCTTTGCTATTATCCCTTCTCCATTTATTCTACCATCTTGAAGAGAAAGAAATTGGATCAGATTTAATCAATTCATATTTTCTCACATCATGTTCAAGACAATTAATTTTAGCACCCTCTTGCTTAGGAAGTTCTATATCTTTTGAGGATTTCAAAGCATGATTAGAACTCCTAAGCAAAGCATCACAAATGACTATGATGTTGATGCACACGAAACAACCAAAGTCTATGAAACTCAAGCAATTACATACCAAACTAGGTGGTAAAATTTTTTGGGTCAAAGAAAGAAGGATGAATACAAATAGGATTGAACTTCTTATGCTCAACAAACCCAAAGCCCCATCATTAGCATACAATGCAAATATGGATTTTATTAATACAATGGTGCAATTCAATTGATCCAATTCAAATTTGGTTGCTAGAAGTTCTAAAGACGTAAGAGCACTTATATCCTCATCCAAGACCTAGCAGTCACTATTCATCATATGATATTGCTCATTTTTGCTCTTAGGTTCAACAACAATGATAACTCTTCCTTGTGAACATTGATCCAGAGAAGAATAGGGAGAATCACTTATAATATGTTGGTTGCATTGGGAAGAAAGACAGAGTTGTGTACTGCTCTCTGCTATTGTCTTAATTTCTTTTTCGTGTGAAACATCTCTCCTTTTTACCATATAATTTATCAAATAGAAGTAAAAGAAACTACATTTCATGACCTCAAGATTAGAAAATTAAGTTTTCAAAATTTTCTTCAATGGTTACTATTCACAAGGTAACCTTAAAATTTTTGCCAAGTTTGAAAATTCATAACTAATTAAAAAAATCGAAATGAGGTGGTTCTAATTTCTATTTAAAGCTCTTTCAATTGTATGCATGGAAAAAAAAAATACTCATTGGATTCATGGCCTTGCCATTCAAGTTCTATTTTAGCCTAAAGATATACTATTTATTTGGTAAATTTTTTCTTTTCCAGATTTTTTACCATAAATTTAAAAATTCATAACTTTTCACATATAACTCCAATTTAGGTGATCCACCACTATATTTAAAGCTTAAGATAGAAATTTTAACCTGCCAAATCTCATGGCAAGATTCATCCATTTATTCAGGATCTCTTGCTCAATAAGTTATGACATTTTAAGCCATTTTCTTACCCTTTTAATGCCATTCTTTAGGCATTTGTGCCATTAAGCCATACATGCCCTTCATCATAGATATCAATACATATTTATAACTTGGTTATACTTTACATAAAAGTAAAGTTATTAACTCATACGATCATCCATGATCAATTTACAAATTTGTAAAGTTTAAAACATAATTCCAAGTTTCGTAATAGAACCTGTATTTCTTCATGGTAAGTCCGCTTCCTTGCCTTTGCCTCTAGAATGTCCAGCCCCTAGATTGTGTCATTTTGGATAGGGAAGGGTTGAGATTTAATAGAAATCTCAGTAGCAAATAATTATAACAAAAAGCAAAAACACAAAGTTATATCATGCTCTATATCAATCATCATTCTCATGTATTCACTAGCATTATCATGCCATGAAAAGGGAGCCCATAATCATACCATTTAACAACTTAACTATGCATATTTTCGAGGCATCAAATGACATTATAGCTAGCTCATCCACCTCATGGCTTAAAAACATATAGCAACAAAAAAAAATGCACCTTAACTTCAAATTTGCAAGTTCTTGCTACCTCTTTTTAAGCTTTGATCATTTCTTCTTTTCCCTTGTTCATGGGTCCCTCAAATAATCAATACCTATGCATCATACAATAGGGGTATACTAAGTATAAACTCATAACAACACATAAACTCTTCTAAATTCTCTTAACCCTTTTCTTTAATTCTTTAGGGTTTTTGAATCATCTTTTCTATAACAATTCCCACATACTTTTTCTAGATAATTTTGTACGTAGAATTCACACTTAAATTCATCAAAATCCAACTCCATCCTATCCAACTCCATTTGGCCAAGAGGTTAGGGTCTTGAGGCTCAAAATTCCATTTTCAATTTCAATTCTTTCAATTACTTTCCTTTAGCATTTCCCTACACATTTTTATTATTTAAACTCATTGGAAGCATCAAATCAACTTGAATCAAAACCTAACTCTACGTTCTTAGCTTGGCCAAAACTTATGTATCCATAGGCAAGTTGGATTTCTTTCATGAATCATGTATATGTACAAGTTATCTAATCTTTTTCTATTCTTTAATCCCTAAGCCAACTTCAAATCATTAATATCAAGTCTTACACCATTTTACGCAGCATGTTCTTCTAAGGATTTTAGCCATCAAACTC